AGACGTTACTTGGCTCTCATTCCCCTGTGGCCACATCTGGAAGCCAGGGCACCCGGGAAATGGGGTGTCCAGATGGGAGGCTCTCATTCAACTAGGAGAGAAGGGATTTTATCGAACCACTGACAGTCCTAAGCCAGGGCTCAGACCCACACCTGCGCCACCCTTTCCCTCTTCCCTCTCAAAGGAGGGGAAATAGAGACCAAGGTCCAGAAAGCAATGGGATCCCCATGAGGTCTGTGTGATCCCCAGTGGCTATCCCTCCATGAGCAGTAGTCATAGGACAGTGACTTGGAGCCCTTGCTCTGGAGAGGATACCCTCCTGTCCATCTTCTTCACAAAGATGTGAGATGAGCTTCTTCTCCCACTGCCTACCCACTCCTTTCACATGGTCTTGGTCCACTCTCCACTGCCTGTTCCCCGTCACTACGTGTGACTGCAAATGTGGGGGTGCAGTAGGAATGGAAGGCAAGACCTGGGCCAGGAGGCCATGCTGTACAGGCAGCTCAGGCACATCCAGCTACTAAAGGCGTGACCTGAAATGGGGAAGCTCTCTGAGCCGCAACTGACTCTTTTAGAAATAGGAATAAGAAGCTTACTTGTCAAGGTTGTTGAGAGCATCACACAGGATACACCTGTCTATAATGTCTGTACCCGGCACAGAGGAGGCCTTCAAGACATGGTGATTTTACTTGGCTCCAGCACAGCAGAACTGGTCCCGTAGCCAGGCCTCACCCACCATTTGCATGGCATCTCCTCCCTCCCCTGCCTGACCAGTGTACCACTCCCTGCCTCTTCTTTACCTCCCAGCCTCACCCCCTTCCCACCTGAACCTTGGTGTATGCTTTCCACCTCCAGCAAGTCTTGCCTGATGAAAACTTTCCCACTCAGCCCCTTCCCAACCCCGGCCCTCACTCCCCACCACCCTCTGCTGACTGCTCCACCGTCCTGGCTTCCACCTTTCCACCACTTTCCATGTGTCCTGCCTCTACCTCCAGGTCACTCCCCCACCACCACCAAACTTCAGGAAGTGTGCAGCAATGTTAGGGGGTTCAGACTGCTCATCGGGCAGATCAGAGTTCAGATTCCAACTTTGCCAATTTCTGACTATGACTTCAGCAAAGTCACGCCTCTTTGGGTCCCTCTGGAAGGGTTTGGGTATGTGGGGGCTGGTACATAGCTCTCGGGGATTTAGGAAATGTCAGTCTCCTCTGCTATCCATCACATCCCCCATCCCACACTCCAGGGACTGACTCTCTGCCAAAGGGAGGTATTAGACCAAGAAAGTAATTCCCCCACCAAGCCCCTCTCAGGGTTTAGGGCGGGGGAGGGTAGAAGGGACTTCCCCTTGAAATCTGTGGGCACTGAACAGAACCGCCAACCCAAGAGCCACAGCAGAGGCCAAGAAAGAACTCAGGCATCCCAGCCCCCACGGTCTTACTACTCTCACCACATATACAAGCCCCCCCCAGGACCCCCACTCTCCTACCCTCACCACAGACACCCCAGTTGTTAGACACATTCAGGGATGGGGGTGAGTAGGTTGATCTGATCAGGGTCTTAGAGAATCCATGGAGCTCTTAACCTCTAAGAGGTTCCATGCCTCTATCTCCAACCTTCCCGGATCAGAAAAGCAACATCAATAACAAATGCTTTACTGTGCTTCCCGCTCCACTGACATCGTTCTAGACACTTCACACACACGCACTCAGTCTGTACAACAGCCTACGGGCTGGGACCATTAATTCCGTTTTGCAGATGAGGAAACTGTCCTCTGGAGAGGTGAAGTAACTTGCCTAAGGTTACACAGCTAGCCTAAGGCAGGGCTGAGATTCAAAACCAGACAGTGGGACTCCAGAAACCATGTTCTTAACCGCTCTGCTGGAATAAGGGAATTCACTTGTAGTTTCTATGTGCCAAGTACTGTGGAAAACATAGCACCTGTATTTCATTTACTCCAAAACAATGCCCTGAGATGGCTACTGTAAATATTATTCTCGTTTTACATATCAAGAAAGTTAAGATTCGAAAAAAGTTTTAGGCAACTCACCTAAAGTCCCACAGCTAGATAGCTTCAGAACCCCTACCTGTTTTGCCTCACATCTCCCACCCTTGCCCCCAGCTCCTCCTTCTCTAGATGGGTTTTAGCACCTTCCTTCACAAATCTGCTTTACCCCCACAACCCACAACCACTCCCATTCACTTCTGTCCCTTTCCCTCCCCACCTCCCCCTGCTATGGCCCCACAGTCCCTGCCTCTCCCCCACTAAGACTGACAAACATTTCCGTCCCTCTCCCTCAGCTCTCCTCAGTTCCTCAGCCCTCTCCCACAGTTCCCACTGAATCAGATAAATTTCACCAGGAAAAAAAAAAAAAAAAAGACCATCGGACATTCCCCAATCAGGCCCCCACTGCGCCTGGATGTGGAGCCCCCAGAGGAGGCACCTCAGTGGCTCTGTTGGAGAGTCAGAAATAAAACCCTCATTCTCCTCCCCCGCCCCCACTTCCCATCACTCATCTGGGAATCCAGGGCGAAGAAGGGAGCTAAAGTGCAGAGCGTTCATTTAATATTAACAAATTGAAATGAATTCTTTTAATGCCAATTAACTTGGAGCGGCCCCTTATTAATAGTAATTTAGATTCATACTTGGGAGAAGCGGGGAAGGGGGCTGGGCCAAATGTGCCCAGAATGTCAATGTGACAATGGAGCTGGAGAACTCAGAGGGGAGGAGCAGCCGCAGTTTGACTTCTGCTGAGTTGGGTTCTGTTTCCCTCAGAGAAATGGACAAAATCACAGGAGGTGGATCTTTGGAAAGAGATTACTCTGGAATTTCGATTTTTGTGCTTGCAATGATTCTGAAGAGGCTAAACTGTTATCACACAATTTTGGTGGTTTACTTCACAGTTATGTTGAAAAAAAAAAAAAATTTCCTCAGAGCTGAGATTTACCCCAAACTATCCTAAGCCTGACCTCACTGACCAGCGTGTGATGGAGCCCCCAGGAGAGCTCACTCTTCCTTCTTTGTGTTCAGTCCAGCCAGAACCGAGATCAAAATGGGGTACCCTAATCCCTGCCACCTCCACCTTAATCAAAAGTAAAAGAGAGGACTAAACATTGCATTTCTTCTGGGAATCTTCTTCCAGAAGGTAAAAAATACCAACAGACTTACCCTGAGCTAGCAGCTTACATTTAGGGGAGAAAAAAATATCTGCTTGTACTTCCTTAGAATTTAGGGAAAAGATGAAAATGAAAAATCCAACTTTGTATAGAAAGAGTTGCTCAGAATAAAACCAAGAAGAGAGAGCTCGGTCCCAGACTAAAAAGTCAAACATATATTCTGCTTGCCCTGATTTTGCTGGGTGGTCCTACTAAAGGTGCCCAGAACTAGAACCTTGAACGTAGGCTTTGACCCAAGCAGATCATTTCTTCTTCCTGGGTGTCCCTCCTTGGCTAGGAGGGTGAGTCGAATTTGAAGCTGGGAATTGTAGACCTTGGGGGTGAGAGTCCTGAGAGGAGGAAAAAGGAGTGCAAAGGGGGCTGGGGAAGGGTTAAGAAAATATATAAGACTGTGAAGTTTATAAAATAAAAACTTTAAAAATGGTTTAACAGATAAAAGATCAAATTTAAAGAACAAGTCAGGGTTTAAAAGGAGGTAAAATACAACAAAATTGAGAGCTTAAAATAAACAAAAATGAGGATAAGGCATAAAACACTTCAAGTAAATTATTCTTCAAAAGAGGAGGGGTTGGAATTAATCAAAAGAGACCTTGTTCACACCCCCCATAGAGTTTCCCAAACAATAAATTCATTTACCAAACAAAAAGAGAATACAAACTTAACAGTTTCACACGGAGGGGGAAAAAAAAAAACATGGAGAGTCAATAATGGCTAAAAAATGAATAAGGAAGGAAAAAAAGAAAGAAACAAACAAAATTGAAGTCTGCTGATTATTTGTAAATACTGAAATTGGAAGATGGAATGGAGAAAGGCGGGAAACTGACATCTTTCGAGAAGTGAAACTTGCAAAAACAGAAGGTGTAACTCATTCTCAAAGAAAAGTAAACTCTCCCTAAGTAGAATGCTTCTCCCCAAAAGAAGAAAATATAAAACGGATGTAAAAAGTGCCACTCACCCTTCTTCCAGAAAAGTGTATTAATCTGAATTTAATCTCCCCCCAAATCTGAAATAGATTATACAAAAAATAAATAAAAGGATTGCTTCCTTTCAACTAAGAGAAAAGCAAAACCGGATTTAAACTGCCTAATGGGGCAGGAAGGGGGACGTTGTTTGCAGGTGCCAGATAGGATGGGGGAGGGGATGCTTCAGGGGAGGAAGACCCGCTTACCTTTTTCTGGAGCAGTGGCCGCTAGACCGAGGTGGGCGCGGGACACAGTGAGTGTCTGCGTGCGTGTTAGGTCAAAAAAGAAAGAGAGAATCCGGGTGCCCCTGTACGAAAGAGGAGAGTAGAAGGACTGGGGGTACCCACCTCCCCACCTCCGCGCATCTCCCTCCCTCTACCCAGGCCTAGAGAGCTACTGAAAGTTACAAATTGCTTCCATTATTAGCTCATCCCGGGCGTCCTGGTCATTGGCCAACCCTGGACCACGTGGTCCCTCGTACCAATCGATCGAATTTCTAGTTGCAATTCTCTGTCTGTCCCTTGGCTCTGGGCAGGAAAGGGCGGGGGGACCGGTGGCGCGGGGGTTGGGGAGGGGCTAAAGAGGGGGGTCTCTTCGCCCCTTCACCCTCCTTTTCCGCCTTGTCCCGGGCCTGAGTGGCCGCCCCAGAAGGGGTTGAGAGAATGTTGTTGGCTGGGACACACCCGGGAGGGCACAAACTGGAGGAAGCGGACAGACACTGCCATGGACCCAGGGCCCTCTCCTCCCAGTTCCCCCGGCCGGGTCGGCCACGCTGGCCACACCCTCTTAGAGCGCCCGCGGGGTCCGGGCGGTCCCGGGGCTAGCAGCCAGGCCCCCTTGTGCCGGACGCTTGATGTTCTCTCTACGGATCACAGCTTCGGCCCACACTTTGGGGAAGGTGCTTCCCTGGGGCTCGCTCTGGATCAGGCTCCTGCGCCCTCAGGGGCACCCTTCTCACGCCACTGCCGAGTTTGCGCCCCTCCTGGGACAGTTTGAGAGGTGAACAAACTTTTGAACAGATAAAAATCAAGAGGAGTCCGTCTGGAGCAGGAGCAGGTGAGCTGGGCTCAGGAGGGGTACATACCCTTCAGCCTGAGGACAATCTGTCTCTCCCTCTCTCTGTCTCTGTGTGTGTGTGTCTCTCCTCCTGACTCCATACCCCTTCCCCTGCAGGCTGATACTAATCTGCCCTCCCTTGGAGGAATTGGGGTTAGGGCAGGGCGTCTGTCAGTTAAGTGGGTCCCGAGCAGCTTTCCTTCGCGGAATTCGGGGACTAAGGTGGCAGCTGGCAGAGGTGGAAGGATTGCTTCTGAAACTGGGGAGGGCGGGTGAAATTGGGGGCCTAAAGACCCAAAGAGTCTGGGTGTGATAACTGCTTTCTCCAAACGCAACTTGCGGGAACTTCAGAAAAGTTTTTTGAAGGAAGATGGAGAAGAGAGCAGAGTTGGGGTTTTGAGGTTTAACCTGGGAGGGAGGAGCGCTTCGCTTCCTACGCTGAAGGAAGGATGAATTTGCTTGTTTCCCCAATCAGGGTGGATTATCAATGCCCCAGACCTGCTCTCCCAGCAAACTCTTAGAGACGCTTGGAGATCCCCATAGGGGTCTCCGACGAAGGCGAGAGAAGTACCAGCCGAAAATAGCAGTTTCCCACTCTCCCGCGGAGGGGGTGGGGGGCGGGGTTATCAGTCCGGAGCCCCAGCTCTGGACAACCTCAGCCCCACTGCTCTGGGACCATTGGCTGATTTTTAAGTTAGGATGACATGAGAGAGGGAACAATTCCCAAATTTCTTCCTCTTTTCCTTGGAAACCCATTTTGATGCAGAGATCCAACTCCCGAAGATGCAAGAGTACCCCTCTCCATCCTACCACCCCCCATCACAATCCTCCTCCTTTCTCCAGCGCTCAAGGGTGAGCAAGGAAAAGAGCCCCTTACTCCGACTGGGGGCTGAGATTGCCCCCATCCACACAAGGGAAGTCCCCGGAGAAAGAGATGGTTCTTTTAAAAGGAGTCAAGGGCAGAGGGTGGTTTCAGAGGGCGCAGCTGAACTTGGGCATGCCCTGGTTGAGAGTGGGGGGAGTAGGCAGGCCCCCGGTGGGGTGCTGGGCCTTCCTTGCAGGATGGTCTGAGAAAGCAGGTGAGGGCAGAGGCCGTGGTGGGTGTACCAGCAGAGCCTGGGGAACTCTCGAGCTCCGCATGCCGGGAATGGGAGGCCCAACTTGGGCTGGCAGGTCCCCGTAGCATCTGAGGTTTGTGGGTCCTTCCCTGCACAGCCGGGCAGGCAGCAGCTGGCAAATTTGGACTAGTTCTTGGAGAGGGTCGGAAGGGGTTGTGTATCCCAGGAGGGACCATTCTCATAGAAGTACATGGTATCCCTGGCCAGTGCCCAGCCCACACCTCCAGAGGCTGCTTGGCCCTGCTCCGTGGGGAGCTCAAACCTGCCCAGACCTTTGTTTTCCCAGCAGGCGCCTGAGGTTTTTCCGCTGGTAATGCAGTGGCTGTCCAGCACCTGCTCCTCCTGGAGCCTCCGGAATTGGGCCTGCCCCCCTAACAGGTTTAAGAGGGCCCAGCCTGCACTGCCTAAAGACCTGATCTCCAGAGTGTGGGCCTTGAGAAGTCCAGGGGCAGACAGGAAAGTGATTGATACCCCCAAACTAAGCCCTTTTCTTTCCTTCCATTCTGTGGACCTACCAACCTCTCCAGCCCAGAGGAGTGGGGTGGAAGAAAGGTCTCATCCCGCCGCAATTCCAGAACTGACCTGGGAGCCGACTGGGGCTTCTCTTTGGCAGCTGCCCAGGCTCTGGGTACACTAAAGAGAAGGTGCCTTGTTCTAGGCTTCACCCCCCCTCTTGATGAATCCAGTCCTTTTGCCCCTATCTCCCCAGCACTCCCCTCGCCAAGATCTGTGGGGTTCTCTCTTTTACTCCGTCCTTTCTCCTCTTCCTCTTTCTCTTTTTTATCAGGATTGACAGAGAGACAACAATTTGCTAAGTCTTGTCTAAGCCTATACTGGGGAGCTGCGGACTCAGCCCCGACTTCTCAACTAGGGGGAACCACCCCATTCCCAGACCCTTGAATTCTGCCCCCAAGTTGAGGGAAGTTGACAAAGAATGGGTGAAGGATGGCTGGCCTGCCATGGGACAGAGCCCCAACCCGGGGAGGGTGCAGTTTTTAGCTATTTGCCTGTTGCAGAGAGAGGATTTAGAAACAAAGGAAGAGAGAGGGAAAAAATGGTGGAGGAAACAGCACAAAGAACTGGAAAATTTGTGAACAACAAAGATAAAAGACTGGTGGGGGAAGAAAAGATTTGAAAAAGCCCCAGTACTGGGGACAGAAGAAGGGCCTCCACGAGGGTGGGTGGGACAGAGGTGAACATGAAGAAATTCTGGTAAAGAACAGAATGATAAAGCAGAACTTGTTTGTTTTGTGAGGAGGGGTAGGCAGAAGGGAAGGAAAGAGAAAACAAAGGAATGAAAGAGGGAGCTCAAAGTAAAAGAAGCAGGAAGGAAAAAAGTAAAAGAGAAAAGAAACAGAAGGGAATAGACAGGAAAGGAGGATGGGAGGTGAAGGGAGGGAAGAAGACAGAAAGAAAGTAGGGTAGGTTGGGGGGGCAGAAAGAAAGGAAAAAGTGAGAATTAGAGAGACAGAGGAAAGAAAGGAGAGCAGGAAATCGGAAATCAGGTTAACAGAAAGGGGATCCCAATTAGGAGGAGGGAGGGAGGAGGGGGAAGGAGGTGGGAAAGAGGCCTGCTATGGTCGCTGTGGCTGAGCTGGGGTCTCCTGGTGCCCCACCGGCACCCCCTAGGCTACATTGGCCTTGACCTCCCCCCACTGGCTGCCCTGGCCCAGGGGAGGGAGGTGGAGGTTCTCACCAGCCCTCTGCAACCAGCTTCTCTGAGAAGCCTCTGCCTGAGCTGGAGAAGGGCTTCCTTCCACAGCCTTACCTACCTCCAGCCCAGCCCAGTGGGACTTGAGGCTCAGCGGGTCCAGATCCACTTCCAAAACCAGAACATGAAGCTAAAAAAGGTGGTTTAGAGAGGGATGGCTGGCCAAATCGCCATGGCTGTCTCCTCACCCACAGCCCCCAGCGCCTCCACCCTGACCTTGCTGCAGAGGCTGTCTGCAGGCGGGCTGCCTGGTTCTGCCATGCTCTGGCTGTGACCTTGGGCCTCAGTTTGATCAGAGGTCAAATGAGTCCTTTGTGCTGGAGGGTTCTTCTGTAATTGTGGTTACAATGCCTGTCTGTGTTTGTGCAGGTGAGAGAGGGGTAAAGAGAAGGCCTGCCCCCGCCACTCTCCCCACCCTCACCACCCCAGGAAAGGTATCTTCATTTTCTTCATTGGTGAGAAGAAAATTCCTCCTTGGCCAGCCTGACCTCCACCCATGCTCCAAAGAACTTCTTTCCAGGGCAGAGGCTTTCTCTCCACCAGAAAGGGTTGTATTCATCTGTACGAGGCTTGGCATGAGGTTTTCCAGGGCTGAAGGGGCCAGAGAAGGAAGTCATTCTTAAAAGAGAATGAACACATTTCCTACTAGGGCGAGTGGACTCTAGGTCTGCAGGACACTGCACTGAACTCATGCACACATAGATGTTAATTGGCAAAAGGGCTTTAGATTCAGCTGCAGAGGAATGAAGGCGGGGGGTGGGGGGTGTGGATGTGTGTTTCTGGAGCCTTTTGGGCCTGCGTTCCCGGGCCCTGTTCACACGCTTCCCTGGACAGCTGCCCCGTTTGATTCAAGGGGCTTTGCTTCTTTTTTTTCCCCTTTCCTTTTTTTTTTTCTTTTCTTTTTTTAAGAGGGTTTCTTCTTTTTTTTTTTTTTTAAAGATTTTATTTATTTATTTGACAGACAGAGATCACAGTAGGCAGAGAGACAGAGAAAGAGGAGGGAAGCAGTCTCCCCACCGAGGAGAGAGCCCGATGCGGGGCTCAATCCCAGGACCGTGGGATCATGACCTGAGCTGAAGGCAGAGGCTTTAACCCACTGACCCACCCAGGTGCCCCTTTAAGAGGGTTTCTTAAAGCCTGTTAGGTACCTCCTTTGTTTCCCATCAGTGCAAAGGGGAAAGTCACTGAGATGAGCCCGATCTCCAAGGGCAGTCCAAGCCTTGGGAATGGACTGGGGGACCTCAAACAACCAGCTGCCACTGGGTTCCCAGTAGGCCTTGCACTTCTTCTCAGGACCCTGGGTCCAGCACTTCCCACACTACGCTTCTAGCTGCCCCCACCTCAAGCTGCTGCTTCCCTTCATCTATCTTTCTTTCTCCCTCTATCTCTCTTGCTCCCTTTCTTCCTTCCTGTTCTTTCTGTTCTCTCTTTCCCTCATCACTGAGCCCAAGATGGGGCTTTGAGAATCAGGCTTTGCTCTGAGACCTTCAGGCATGCTACCAGGAGACCTGCCCTCGGGAGGACATGGATGCAAATATGAGGATGGGAAGATAAGGGTCAAAACAGGGAGTCAGTTTGGCTGATCAGGTGCGGGATGAATCCGCTGGTTTTCTCTAGCAGTCCTGATTATCCTGCATCCCTGCCGCTCATCCCAGAGAATCTGTTCCCACCTCATCCACCTGCTGGCCTGCCCCTGGCCACAGGGCTGGAGTTGCTGGTGCCCCCAAGGCCATTCTTTCCCAGGATGAGGGAGGGCTTACAGGAGCTCCCCTTGCCTCAGCGGGTAGGGGTGCCGGGGAGGGGGTGTGGGGAGGTCAGGGACTCCAGGTCAAAGCCTCAAACTAGGAAAGAAGCAAAGCATATTTCCTGATGCACTTCGGGGTCCTCTCTCCCTTGGGTGGAGAGGTTGGTTGGCTCTTGGCTCTTGGCTGTCTCTCCAAGGAAGACACCTGATCAGCCAGGCCCCCAGCCTGCCACATCTGCTCGGCAAAGAAGGGAGACCTCTCCTTCAAGGTCTGGCGAAAGGGATGCAGACTGTGTGCCCCAAGCAGCTTTCTTGCCTCAACCGGCCCTTCAGGGAAGGAGGGAACCTACTTGACTTTGCAGGATCGCGATCTCAGCCAGCAGAGCTGTGACAACTGCAGCCACATTCTGGAGCCTGACACTGGAGGAAGCTTCTGCCACTCGGCTCTCCTTGCTGCCTCCTTGCTGCCTTGGCCCCTGCTCATTCTGCTGTGTTGCAGCTTTCTCCCTCATTCCCGGGGTGGGAGGGATGACAGGGAAGTAAGATGTTCCTCCCCTTCCCCCTAGTCTTTCCCCATGCCCCACCAAGCCTCAAAGCTACTGATCATAATCAACCACTGCTCCCAGCCCTGCTCAGAAGGGACTCACAGTGAATTCAGATTCTCTTCTGGGCGGGAGGAAGAACGAATGCTCCTTCCTCAGTCCTCCCTGGTTCATTGATCCATTCGAAGGCCATTGGGGGGGTCAAAGTTGAGACCGGTTTGCTTCAATTGGTTTAAAATTAGCATTTTTAAAAATCATACTGAAGGCCCAGATTTCTCACATGGAGGAATGGGAGGTCTCGGGGTGCTGGGCTGGCTCAGTCCATAGAGTATGTGACTTTTGATCTCCGGGTCATGAGTTCAAGCCCACCTTGGACCTAGAACTTAACTTAAAAAAAAAAAAAAGGAATAGGAAGTCTTTACCCAGACCCACACCTCCTCTCTGTCCTTTCAAACCAGCGATGATATAAAGGCTCGTTGAGGTGAAGGCATGGAAGGAGAATGAGCAGTTGGCCCCATCTGCCAGCTTCAGCGGTTCATTCCGCTAATATTTATTTAGAGCGTACTGCATGTGAACCATCATCTGTACCTCAGTTTGTCATGGACCATCAAGAGCAATTCCTGCCCCTATGAGGCTTCAGTGTGTATGGACAGATATACAAATAAATCAGTGGAAAAGAAAGTCTGGGTTCAGCTGATTTCTACTGCAGCCTTCCAGGTGCCTGGTCTCAGAGCCACAAGCTCTGAGGGAGCCCCCAGTCCCCTCACCCCAGCGACCCACACCCACTCCGTTGAAAAACAGGACGGCCCTGGGTCTCGTTTGTTTCCCGCACTGGAAGAATATAAAATGGGGCAAGAAACATGCACTGGGATTGGCAGACCTGAAATAAAGGGTTTGGGATGTCGGCGAAGGGGCCTTCCAAGGGTCCCGTTCCACCCTTGGGACATGCCCTGTCGCCGCGCGGGGTGACCGGTTTCTCTGGGGTTGCCGAAGCAGGCTTGGGGTTTGTCTTAGTGTAATCACATGCCTGAAGGTGACAGTGAGGGTGTGCATACGCAAGTAGACTGAAGGGGGTGTATTCAAGTGTTACCGCACAGGGCTTGGCACTGGAGCAGGTGTGTGTGTGCATGCACGCTGGGGGGCCGGCTGCACACAGATCTGAACATAGCTCTTCATACATGACCCTCTGTGTTTGCAAGTGTGTGCGTACCCTCTGAATTATTATAAAATTACCCTGACCCTTACAGAAAATCCATACCAGCCTCGGCCTTTCTCCCCCGACCTCTCGACCTCTGGGGTGCCTGAGGAAAGAGCTGACCCGGTCACTGCCTCCCCCAGTCAATGAGTCTCTCTCCATTAGCATAAAACATGAATCTGCTGGCAGCTTGACAAATTATAACTAGCAGCCAGAGTTTTGCCAACTGGCTGGCTTGGGCTCTGTCTATTTATCATTGAAAATGGTAAATCATAAGAATCCAGATGACTTAATTATTCAAATCCACCCAGGACCCAGAGAAGCTGCAGTCCCGTCAGTCTCTGCCCTGAGCTCAGGGAAAGGGCAAGAGGACGGTGCTGGAAGCTTGGGTGGGGGCTGGGAGACACAGGGTCCACGGCCACCCGTCTCCTCTGCCCGGCAAGCCCAAGCCCACGTTTCTCTGCAGCCCCTCCCCTCCCTGCCTGCCTGCTACTGTCCCCAGAAGAAACCAAGCCGATTGTTTTGGCTACTGACCCTCCCAAGGCACCCCCTTCCCCACCTCCCACTGCCTGCCACCCATCCCCTAGCTCACACAGGAGGTTCTCTGCCTCTCTTTGTGTGGGTCTCTGCTAGCTTGCTCTCTTTCTCTTTCTCAGTGCCTTCATTCTCTTTCTCCTCTTTCTCATATTCCTCCCCCCTACCTCTCTCTCTCCGCTCCTACAGATGGATCCTGACCTCCCCCCACCCATAACTTCTCAGATGGAGGTTTGCCTGCGCTCCTGCCCCCTTTGTTTATACACGGTCCCAGATGTGCCCTCTCAGGACCTCCACACACCCACACTACACCACCCGTACCCCAGCACTTGAGTCCTGGGAGGTTTGAATTCTCTCCTCCGTGGAGCCACACAGAAGCATAAGTGCCATGGATGACCTTGGCCTACTCAGCCCCTCACCCCCACCCTCCACACACCTAACCTTCCTTCTGTGGGTTTCTGAGCACCATTCTGCACAGCTGGGGAGCTGGGAGACCGGCTGTCACAGATATGCCCCAGCAGGAGACAGGACTGGGTCCCAAGAAGGCCCACCCTGGGGCTGTCCCCCGGCTCCCCACACTGGACCACCTCACACCGGAGCAGAGGGATCGCTCAACTTGAGAAAAAGAAAATCTGTTTGCAGAACAAATTGTGCATCCAGAGGTCTTCCTGCTGAGCTTCTGGGGTCCCTTTGATTTCTGGGTCCTTTTATCTTTGTGTCCTCGCAATCCAGTGTAATGTCCCCAGCCCCCAGTGGGGGGTGGTGCTGGGTCCTCCACCTTCACCCATCATGCCGGAGGAGAATGTGGGCCATGAGGGGTTCACTACAGCTCCTCTCTTTTCGTGGCATCCTGACTTATTCTTTCGGGGGGCTTGTTCTCTCTGTGAAGGCCCCAGAGCCCCGGCCCCAGAGCCCCAGAGCCCACTTCTGTGTCTGCAGATGCTTGTCAGGTTGGTTCGGAGTGACCGTGTCAGCCTGTGTGTTTGTCCCTACACTTTCAGGAATCCTTATGCTGGAACAACAAGTGACAATGTCCCCACCAACAGGACACCTGAGGAAATAGCCCTCTCACTCCCCACAATTCCATTTTAAAGCCTCTGAGAAACAGTGCTCTCAGTAAAATATCAATCTTGATGAATCATCAAACTCTAAAGAGGGAGCTACTCATTTCTGCTACTGAACCTGCGTAAGTTCTTCCTTGAGTCTAGCCTTCTCCTTTCAGGGTGGAGTATGGGGATGGGGCTCCCCAGTCTCCGGAGGGGACTCCTCCACTCCCTCTCCGAGAGAACATCTACGGCGTGTCAGGGACCCTTCCAGCTCCGGACTCATCCTCACTGCTAAAACCAGCATCCCTTCCCTCTTCCCTCCCTCCCAACCTTTCCAAGCCAGGTTCCTGTTTGACCGCAAGGGCAGTGGTGAGGGGTAAAGCAGGAGTGGAGAGGATCAAGATTCAAAGGCAGGCCAGCAGCTGGACGCCAGGAAGATCAATAAAGTAGATAGATTGGAGACAGGTTTCTCCCACTTCTTTTTTTTCTGCTGGCTCAGCGGCCCCGCCCCAGCTCCTACAAGCAGGTGGGGGACAGAGCCCAGTCCTGGCCTCTCTCTGCCCTTCTAACTCAAACAGGTTCCTAATCCCTGGGTAGAGGGTAAACAGCCTCCGAACACCACCCACATTAACCACAGAAATGCCGCCAGTGTATTTTGGGCACTCTTCCCTCCTGCTCCCCCCAACCCCGTGTTACTAATTAGCCCAAGAGCTTGGGAGAAGCTTGGGAGGGGCAGCTAAGAATGCCTTTGTGCAGGCCCTACGAGCCCAGGTCTGAGCTCTGGATAGTGTCTCTGGAGCTCGAACCACTGATGGTGGCAGAGGGCTTCCCGCCCCCTCCCCACTCACTGACTCCTAAATCAGCTCAAAGGGAGACAGAGGCTTTTTTCTCTGCACCCCTCCCCAAATCCCCCTGTCTCTCCTTGGCTGTTCACAGCTGGAAGGCAGGTGGGGGATAAGAGGGAGAGTGGAATCGGCTCTGGAAATCAAACGACCCAATAAAAAATTAATTGTCTAATTAAAACCATGAGGAAGCCCCTTGCCAGAGTTTGGCTCTGAGTCGTCAGGGCTATAAAGGGTGGGAAAATGAGTCTCAGCTCCTAATAAATTCCTGATTTGCAGCTTGGTCTATCCGCGAAGGAACGCTCAGCGTTCTGCCAGGGTAGAGCTCCTGGAGGTCACTCCTTCCTCCCTCGGCCCCCAGCCCAGGTGATCACACCCACTGCCACCTCCACTCACCCAACTCAAGCCCAGGGAAAGGAGTCTCTCCAAATGGGCAGAAAAGGCTCTGCTCAGGGAGGGCAAGCCTTTCTGAGACTGGTGCTCAGGCCCCCTGACGTGGTGTTCCCCCTCTGCTTCCTGGTCCTTCTCCAGGAAAAGGAACTTCCTGGAAACTTCTCCAGCTAGAGAGGTCTTCGTTTAAGTTAACTACTAATTGTTATAGACAGGCTTACTGTGTAGATTCATTTTGACCTCACCTCCTCTATTTTTGTGAAAAATACATTTTTACTGAATTTCCAAACCAGCAGCTTCCCTCCCTTAGGCTTTAGTGCTGATTTTTGCAGGTGAATGATGGGCGACCAAGCTAAGAAATTTAATATTCCCCGCAGTAAAGGGCTGAGCACACACTGCCTCATTGGCCAGATCTTCTGGAAGAACAAACACGGAGCTAGTCTAGAAAGGAGTGCGGAGCTAGGCAAGTCTCGGGTGTAGATGAGGACCCAAACCCTGAAAAATTGTACCAAATCTTCCCTTGGATCTGTCCAATGCCTCTCTTCCCGCCCTTCCTTGGCAAAAGCCAATGCATTATACATCGTCAGAGGCATTAATTTGCAATAGCTAGAGAAGGAGGAGGAAGTGGTTAGCATATAGCCCTCAACATCATAATATGTCATTTTATTATGTAGAACACAATCCTGGATATAATATCTGTGATTTGCTTTTTAAACCCAGGAGAACAAACAAGGGTGTTCTCAGAAGGACACAGACTTATCCCATATGTACCTCTATTAATTAAAACATTTCTGTAAAGTCTCCTTTTAAGATGGACTTCATAGCTCTTCTACAAAATGAATTATTTTTTGACTGATCCCCCAAAAGCAAAGGATAAATATCTGTCACCAATAAGGACATTCAATAAACTGAGTCATGCACCCTGAGGAATTGGAAACACGTGGAGTCCCTGGCCCTTGTTGGCCGGAGGGGCTTCCCCGCCAAGGTGACTGCTGGGTGTCCGTGTGCTCCTTCTGAGGTCCTTCTTTGTGGCCACATCTGGAATGTATTATTTATCATTCCTGATAATTCTTCCTTCGTTCATCTGGTTGTTATTTTTCATCCTAAACAGTGAACTAAGCTTTCCCTACTAAGGAGAAAAACAAAAGGAAACAAATTCCTGAGCCCCATGTGGCTCAGGATCCCATTTCAGATTTCAGCAAGGTCCCACCCACAAGTGTCACCATGGTGGCTGGATCTTCCCACTCCCGAGAGCCCCAAACCTAGAGACTGGGGCACAGACCCTGGTGCCAATTTGCCTTGTGCCCACCGGGAACCAGGCCCCACTGGGTGCTTACATATGGGTGACCCTTTTCAGGACAGGACTAGCAGGCAGTTTTCCATCCCCCGATGGATGGAATTGGTCATTTCTTGTCCCTGCTACCTGGTGGAAGACTGCGTATTCCTCCCAGGTCCTACTGTTCCTGGAGAAGCTCCAGTTTCCTGATGTCCACTTCTCTGGAGGACTTAGCTTCAGAGGTCATTCTGTGCAGCTCTGTGTCTCTGGGCAAAACTCCCTTGAATATTCCCAGTCCTCAGGCGGACCAGCTTGAGTTTGTAAAGAGAACCCTGAGCCCAGAAGGGCAGGACAGTGGCCCGTGTTCACACCATTTGGGGCAGGGGGTATGGGGGTGGGCAGGGCACCACGTGTACTGAATTCTATGTGAATGGCACCACCTAGAGTGTGCTCTAGGAGCGCAGAGAGCGCTGGTCCCGGAGCTGAGTCACCCGGCACCCCAGGGGTGCCCGGTGACTCCACATGGCGTTCAAGGGTGAAACACCTACCTTCTGACAACTGATATGTCAACACCTCAGCCCCAGAGAAAGGGCTTAAAGGGGAAACCCTCCCTGCCTCACTGATGGCTGAGAGATCTAGGCTCAGCACACAGCTCACCAATCTTCTCTATTCAACTTCAAAGGCAGCCCCAGCCCCAGGGAGGACCTCAGGGGTATGGAGCAAAGCTGATCTGACCTAAATGGACAATGGATAATGTTGCCTGAGCACAGGTGAGGCCAAGCCTAGAAATCACAGGGAGACCTAAGATCCCACTCGGCCGGCCGGCAGTTTGGGGAGGGAGGGGAGCAGGTAATGGAGGGGCCAGTACAATCTTCAAGGTGCAGAGGTGTTTACCGTTGCCCCTCCTAGACCGAAGAGCCCCTTGCCTGCAAGCAAGCTGCTCTAGCCTCCTCACCTGTGTCAGCCTGGCCCGTCTGGCCCCGGTGCTTTACCCTCTGCAGAGCCCTCCCTCTGTCCTTTCAACCCCTTCCATTTTCTCCTCTCCCAGAGTCTTTTTGAACAAAACCTACTGACCTCTGTTATTTCCACGACTTTCCCCTCAAGCATTCTCTCAGCCTGCAGGCATTCAGGGCCCCCCACCGTGTCCTCCCCTCACTGGGACAGGGCCCTTTCCCGCGTCCTAGTCACCCCATGATGCCAGGACACCCCCGACTCAGCAGCTCACAGATGCTCTGCTCTCAGAGCCCCAGATGAGCTACCACATCAAAGACTGGGACACCAGCACTCAGAGGATGGGGACACCCAGTCAAGGACCAACCAACCTACCTTGACTGAACTCCTTCTTTGTTCTGGCATCGTGGGCCACAGAAAGAGCAGGGGTAAGGAATCTGGTCCCAAAGAGCACTGGGTCGTGCGACCAAAAAAAAGAAAAGACATAATCATCCCAGACTTAAAATAAACCTTACCATGAAGGTGTACTTGGTGGACAATAAATTTCAGAGGTGGGAGAAAAAGCTGTCAACTAGAATCCTCCCAAAAGACACCCGGAGGAGGTCAGCTGGAGCTGGGATCCCCTCAGAGGCCTCCCCGAGGCTAAAGAATCATCACATGGGTGGGCTCCATTTCCCCAGCACATTGGCCACTGGGGAACATCCCTGAGCACCCGCTCTCTGCCAGGCTCTGCGCCAGGCACCAGAAACACAAGTCCAAGGGAGTTTGTGCCTTCAAGGCGCTGTCAGCCTAGATGGGGGAAGAAATTGTAAGTAGATCTTCATAAAGCAGTGAGGGAAGGACCATCACTTCTGGTACAGCCAGGCATTATCAGAGCACCACAAACACACCTAAATCTGTCTGTGGAAAGGGCAGACGAAAGGGGTAGGGAAGGCATCCTGAAATGGGGAGGCCAGTGTAAACCAAGCACATGGTACCCCTTCTTCTCCCTGCACCCCTCCCAACGGAAAGTCACCTTCCGCCCCATCAGCTTCTTCAACCAAGGTCCTTGTGGGGTGTGCACACCCCAGCACACTTTCCCACGCAAACTCGAAGCAGGTAACTCCAATCCTGAACTGGGATGGGAGCTCTGGGGTGCCTCCCTAACCCATCTGCCCCTCAGTTCTCCCACCCACCCGGCACAATGGCCGCGTGCTCTCTGATTCCCAGCCTTGGAAGAACCCTGGGCAAGAGAAAGGGAAGACCCTACCGTCTCTGGGAATCACTTGGTCTGCCACCTTCCTCCTCCCCACCTTTGGGGAAGATGGCCCTGCTTCCCCCTGGTTCTCCATCTGTGATCCAGTGCCCACCTCCCACTGCTGCAGCTCTTCCTCCTCCCCACCTTGGAAGAACACACGCCTCCCTCCAGATCTCCCTCCAAGGCGGCTGAGTGGGAGGGAGGTCACCTTTGGCCCCATTTTCCTTGGCCTAGGCGGGCTATTTTGGAAATGAGAAACCCCCTTTGCCCTTTCCTCCCCTCTGGGGAGCACGCTCCCTCCCCTCTCCACATTCCCCAGAAGTTCTCAGACTGAGATCCATCCTACGTGAAGTTATGTGGTGAAATCAGCGCTTTCCTGCCCTGCAGGCGCCGATGCTGGGAAGGGAGCCTACACAAACCTTTGATGTAGGCACGTTTTTAAAGGCCCACCTGTCCCCTGTCTCTCCCCAGCCCCCAGCCTGAACTGCTGGAGCCCCTCATCACAGCTTTAAATCCCAGGCTCCCCACCCCAACCAGGCCAGGATCAGGTCACACACACCCTCTCCCACTGGGGGTAATCAAACCCAACCACGCTCACTCAGGGACATCTGTCTCCAGTGAATAAGGAGCGATCCCAAACTTGAGGGGTTCGGTGACACTTAAAAGCTTCAAGCAGGAAGATCTGCAATTTCTCTTGGAGCAGGGCCTGTGGGGAGGGTCGCTGGGAAACCCTTGTTTGATGTTGCGCTTTCATGGCTGTGGTTTGATCCAGATGTTCCCCACTTGTGGGATTTTCTCCTTGGGAGGGAGGGGCCCTTGGCTGTGAAGACATTTCCACCATGTGCACATGTGGGTCTGGGCCGGCGGGGTGGGGGTGCTCCTCTAGCTGATCTCACTCTGCTCCCACCAACCTGATCTCCCCCAGGATCACAGCTATTCCCTCCACACTCAAAGAAGAGAAGATAGCATTCCCACCAAGGGGCATTCCTAGCCCCTTGTAGGTTTGCTGTGTCACTCTCTAGAAATGGCTCTGCCTCTCTGTTCTTCTGGCTCCATAAGATGAAGCTGAATTTGGTGTCCAAAGTTGGTTCATTCCCAGATCGTGAAAAGAATAGAAGAGCAAGTTCAAGACCCAGATTTCTGGCCAAGGAACAATCATCTAAGAAATTGTAAGTGGGATTGACCTGAGTGTGGATGAGTCAGGGCTGTGGAAGAGGAAGTGGTCATCCCTCTGGGGGGTCAGTCCTACCAGGGTCGAAGTAAACCTTTCCAGACACACAGACCCCTCTGCTCCCTCAGAGCTTGAAAAGGTTAAGACTCAAAAGCTGCCCTGAAACCTGGAAATCTTTCCTTCAACGTTAAAAGTCTTCAGACGTTCCTCCTGTTGTCCAGCCTCAGGGACTGCTCCCTATCCCAGGAGGCGCCTCCCCCAAAGAAAGCATGTCGGTCACAATCAGTGATCCTCCAAAGCCCCAGGCATCCTTCTAGACACTTCTGTCTTCTGGAATCAGAAGAAGGGCTGCCAACTCCATCAGAAATCAGGTTGCTCCTGGAGCCATGCCGGTGAGCACATAAACACTTCTTGAATCCCTGCCCTCATCGTAGAGGTCATGGCTTACACTGGACACGTGGGTGTTGAGTGATGGAGGCAGGGAAGGCAAATGAAACTCCAAGCCTTGCCGGACGAAGGCCCCAGGCTACAAGCAGATCCTAAAGGACTCACCTCAGCCCCAAGGTTGGGTAAGTGGACTATTTTAGGAGGGGACTGTGTGGGGAGAGAGAACGTGTGGGAAGCTTCTTGCAAGAAGAGGAGATTTGGGGGAGATGAGGGAGCGGGGGAGCCACGGAGTGGACGGAGGAGGGCCCAGGGCTGGAGAGACCCAAGAGAGATAGTCTAGTGGGAGAAGAGCGAGCTGCTTCTCCCAACAGCCCAGAGGGAAGGAAGGCAGAAGATGGGAAAAGCCCCACAGGCTATCCCACCTGGAGAAACTGAACACCGTCCCCAGCTCCCCTTACTCTGTGTAACACCAGAAAAATGCATGTTTGGGGGATCAGCTTTTCCCCTGGAGGCCCTGAGGGTCAGTTCTCAGGTCCACCCTTCCTTCGGATTTTGATGCAGTCAAGCACAGATGGGTCAGGTCATAATGGTGATGAGGTGAGTGGCATCGGGTCTCCCTGGCTTGAATTTTTTCTTATTCCCCTATATCCTCTCTCTCTTAGGCAATAATTTCTCATTTCACTTGGTCTTATATACCCCATATGTCTCTAGCTCAGAGAACTAAGAAACACTCCATCATTCTTAAGCTGGGCCTTGCCACCTGCGAGCCCCTCCCCTCTCACACATATGTTCACACAACTGGGGCAAGTGGTAAGCTTCCCCACGGCCCCCTCCTGCCCCTCTCCCACACTACCCTTCTCAGCTTTCGGACTAGAATTAGAGCTTTCTCTCCAGCTGGGGGGTGGCAGGGGCATGATAGGAGATCTTCACAGCTGGATAGCAGCTGGAAGAGCCCCACCTGTTCTGTGCACTCACAGTGGCTCCCTGGAGGCGACCAGTGACAAGGGGAAGAGGCACTGGGAAATCGTGGGCTGGGGGAGCTCGTGCATTGGGATTCAGGACATGGTATGGTCTGGTCTGGGGTGCAGGGGAGGCCAGGTGCTCAACAAGGTCTCCTGGGTCTCTCAAGCGGCTGATGGTGTGGGGCACAGTCCGCTCAGGGCATCTGAAGACTCTTCTTCCCCACCTCCTCCCCTCCGCCTCTCCTAGTCCTCATTACTGTGGAATCTAAGTGAGGACACACCTGTCCCAAGTGCTGCCCTCAATCTGTCCCCCCACCCTGCCCCGTGACTTCCACTTCCCTACACCCTTCCACCCGTGCCCAAATCATCACCCTGCGGGCTTGCTAGAGTCTGACCCAAACTCTCTACTCCAGAGACAGACCTGTCCCTAACTCCCACTGCTGCTGTGGGTGGAGAAACTGACATAGGACCAGAAAAACCATCCTCCGTCTTTTCTCCTGAAGGGCTCACAGACCCCAGGCCCCTTCCCAGAGTCAGAACTCCCAGGTAACATGAAGAACCTGACAGGGGAAGGGCCCTCATTCTCTCACTCGGGCCTGGAAACATGAGAGCTTCCCCTGAGATGTGAGGGCTCCGCTTCGGCGCTGTGGAAGGCTCACCACCACCAACCCCCACCTACCCACCTCATCAGCCCCATTACTGCCAAAACAGAGCTGTTTGGACAAGTCTGACGCCCAGGACTGGGCTAAGAAGTTCGGGCAGGAGGGCAGAAGTGAGAAACACTTCCTCAGTGTTTCCTGCAAGCCCACTAGGCTAGAGGGCCATGAGCAGGTCCACTGGGTCACAGCCCTGGAAACCTCCCCGGGTTGCACATGAGACCACTGAACTCCCTGAAGCTGGTAAATAAGATCCCGGCCAGCAAGCAGTCGGCACGGAGGTCCTGCTATGTGCTGGGTTGGATTCTGCAGGGGGAAGTAGGGGAAAGGAGGGTCATTTCCTTAGTCTTATGCTCCATATCCCACAGTAACCCCCAGAGGTACATAGTATAAATATGGGAGATCCCCATGCTAGTACAAAACCCCATCATCTTATCTTCCCCTCTGCTCAGACATGTGATCATGTGTGGATCTCAGACACCCAAGCTAGACAGAAGGAAGGACTTCCCCGAGTACGGGTTGGCAGTGCTGTTAGCAATTTCATCAGACATGGAGGCCTCTCTTCTTGGAAGGCAGTGAAGCAGGAGAGTCCCCATGCTGCTGAGCCAGGGGTGAGGTAAGTCCCCCGTCTTCACGAAGATTGGGGGAGGGGATGGCTAACATGACACCTCAAGACCCTACCCAGCAGAGATGTGAATATGAGGACAAGAGGACACACAGAGGGACAGACGGATGGAAGGACTGGAGGAGCAGGGAGGGGGAGCATGGTGGGAGAGATGAATGGTCTCCGGTGGACTGATGGATGGTGGCTGAGGTTTGTTTACTGGCAGCCCCTAGCCCGCCATCGCCGGGGGAGAGGAATGGCGGCTGGTACATCAGAGGGCTCTTAGGGAAGCTCATGGAGATGATTTAGATGGGAATGAATCAGCTCCATATGGATTAAGTGTCCCCGCAAATCCCAGGATCTTACAGATGAGGGGACGGGGCAAGGGCACCAAGGGGAGGGGCAGGGGAGGGGGCAGCGTGGAGCTGGTGCAAAGAAACACGGGCCTGGAGCCAGGTGGGGGGGTGCCCTGGGAGAGCCCCAGGGGGCCAGCCAGGCACCAGCGGTGTGCCCCCGGGTCTGTCCGTACCGTGTCTCTCAGGCTCGGTATCAGGCTTTAGGGGAAGACCCTGTATGCAGGAGTGCCCTGTCGGGAGTTTCTCTCCATTTTCCTTCACCTCTTTCTCTCTCCTCCTCTCTTGCATGTGTTTTTCCATCTTTGCTCTTGGGTCCCTCCCCCTTCCTTCTCTCCTCTCTGTTCTAGTCTCTCTCCTTCCACACTCCCCTCCTCTCCTGCCCCCTCTCTCTGCTGCCCTGCTCCCTTCACTAGAGGTGTGGCTGACAGCTGCCAGCAGGTCCTGTGTGCTCCAGCCCTCTGGTCAGCCCTCCCTCTGGATTCAGGTGCAGCACTCCCCTTCCCTCGGAGCCCTCAGGCTTGGAGGCGTCCGAGAACACCAAAGGTGGTATGAAAGTGATTTTTTGACTACAAAAATTTCTTTCTTTTCCTCTCTGCCTGCCCTGCCCTCAGCCCTCCGTTCTCCCAGTGCCAGAGGAACCTGGAAGCAAGACGCCCACACTCAGCAGACAAGGGCAGGCTAAGCAGACCAGGCTTTCCCGTGCCACCAGAGGCAGTGGGTCACCTGCTGGCTGGGGGGCTCCCGGAAGCACTGTCTCCCCACTGTTCCTCCCATGCCCCGTGCAGAGGGCCCCAGAGCTGACTGCGGTTATGAAGCCGGCTGCCATGTGGACGACCTGGATCAGAGCATGGGGTAGTCATATATGACAATCGTTTGAAATATCACAGCCGCTCTCCCCCCACCCCCACTGGTGATCTATGGGCTGCGTGCCCTGTAAAAATTATTTATCGGGGCCTCAGAGTGTCCTGATTTAGTGCCGCTGCCTCTGGGGCCGAGGGGCCTGCATGTCCGCCAGAGCCTAAGCGTTAAACGACGCTAAAAAGTTAAACGGCCAACGTTGGGGGCTCACTCGAGGAGGCACCATAAAGCTGTCGGAGCTGCTTAAATCAGGAGTGAGGATTCCCCGGGACATCTTCTCACCATATGCCACAAGCCAAGACGGCTCTCCTCGCTGCTTTGGACTCACCCAAACTCAGCAGCCCACACTGGGCCGGGGGCTCTGGGGCCAGGCCGGGGCCAGAGCCAAGAAGGAGGTCAAGGCTGACCTCTCCTATAGACCTTCGATCAGCAGCACCGGGCCCAGGGCCCAAGAGTGTAAGGGAACACACCATCCAGCCCTCTGCCCTTGGCCAGGGCTCTCCTCATTCACACCCCATGTTTAAAGACCTCCATCAAAAAGCACTGCGGCCCTCTCTTCCCACGGCCCTGGGGGAGCAGCACCTTCCTGTCTCTCACTTCTGTCCCCCAGTTCTGTGCCACGAACCCCCTGTGAGGCCAAGTCGGTCTATGGTGTGACTCCAGTCTCTTCTGTACCACCGCCGCCCCCACACCCACTTGCCAGGCTCCCTGAAGAATAGGGCCCAGCCCCGGCTCCCCCGACTCCCCACAGACACCTCTGGGGGTCCCTGCACAACACTCAAGACTCGGTGGACGGGTTTCCAGGCTGAAGCCCAGTCCGTGCTGCCCCCACCCGGCCACCAAGCAACAGGGAGGTGGGTCTCCGCAGGCTGTCTATCACGCCTGCTTTCAGCAGCAGTAAAACTTGCTTCTTAAAACCTCCACTTGGGTCCCTAATATTTGCCTGGCTATATATCTCCGGTGATATATGGACAGAAATTGCTCGTAAACGGCTATAAAACCTCTTAGTCGGGCTGCGGAGGAGGCGCCTGAGTGTGGGCACGGCCCAGGCTGCGGGAGGCTCAGAAGCCGAACCATTCCACCCAGCAGGGCCCCAGGAATGAGGGGCTGTGTGTGGGACCCTCAGCAGAAGAGTGGAGGAAGGAGGTCCGGGGGACGTTCTACAAGCTCCTTAGGAAGTCCTGCAGGGCTCGCTCACCTGGCTGTCCCCGTGAGGGGCTGTGCGGCTTTAGGCAAGTCACTCAGGGGCTCTGTACCCTGTGAGGATAGTGACACCCACCCAGCTCCCTCTAAATTGTCATGAAGAGCAAATGAGGAAAGGCCTAGAGAATTCGTCAGTACTTTGCAAGCAAAAAAATTGGATGCTGCCCTTGGATGGGCCCAGTGTCTCGTGAAAGCCTTTATACCTGCTGGATTCTTGACCTAAGTGTTGCCAATCTTGACAACACCCTGCCATGCAGATACGACAGTCACATGTCACAGACGCAAACCTGGCTTCACAGAGGGCACATAGGTCGTCAGGGCCAGGGACTGATTCCAGAGCTGGTGCCCTTTCCACAACATGAGCATGAGATCCTGGCCACAGGAGGGATAACAGGTAAGAGGCCAGAGGGCTTTCCATCAAGGAGGTGGGGGACACTAGGACAGGTGGCTTCTCTCCCACTCCCTTCCCTTTCCAGAGCACAGCCGCTCACTCAGACATTTTGGTTGCAGTCCCGGCAGGGCCCAAGAGCCAAGGGGTTCCCTCAGCATGTTCCCAGCCACTATAACCCCTCATCCAGAGAAATAGCTCCCCAAGTAGAGAGGGAGACCTGAGGCTTTGTGGGAGGTCTGTGCTCTCCCCTGTCACCACAGACCGAGAGACACCAGGTTTGGGTGGCCCAGGGGATGAATGGCCTTCAAGGGGACAGGTCAGCAGGTATAGACCCTAGACAGCCATGTCCCAGATCCCCTGGCCCAACCCCCAGCTATCACTCCCTTCTGGTCACCACTCCCCCCCAGCCTTCCTCTTCCCCCATCCTGTGACCTCTCTGGTGACCTCATGCTCTCCCTCTCCCGCAACATCCCCCTGAGAGCTTCTGGCTGTTCCCTCCCCCTTCCTCCCTCCCCAGACAGCATCCCTCCTTCACCTAGCTGCCTCTTTTCTCTACTTGGAGCCCTGCTTCTCTTCCTCTCCAAGTCCCTTCAACCCTTGCCTGTCCCTTTTGGTTTCCCATGTTTTTCCTCCCTCGTGGTGTCCCCCCAGCTCCTGGGTGTCCCTTCCTTCCATAACCCCCTCCCCCAACCCTTCTCCTAGTGTCCCTCTGGTCTCTTCCCACCTGCCCTCCAGGACCCATAGCCTCTGTCCTGCCCTTTGACCCCCTCCATTGACAAACCAGGACAACAGTAGGAAGGCCACCCCTCTGTCCCACAACTCCCCTTCCCTGGTGGCTCCCACCCCCAACCCCACTTTTCTTTAAGTTTCCAAATCAACCTTCCTCCAATAATAATGATAAAGCAGGAAGCCGGGCCGGAGGACAGTGCAAATTTTTCTTCTTGACACGGAGTTTCCGATTAAAGGCAAAGGGACATAAATCCTCCTGCGTAATTGCTGTGCTCCAGCTCAGAGCCACTTGGAAGGGAAGCTCCCACCCCCTCTGCCCCTGCCTCCGGGAGCCCCACCCCCATCCTGAGCAGGGCTGTGTCCCCAGAGCCTGGGGCTGGGTTGGGAAGGGGGAAGGGAATGGTGTAGCATAAACCTGAGCCCAGCTCCCCGCATTTCCCTTCCAGGGGTCCCAGCCCAGATGGACTGCTACCCGTGGCCACCCCAGGAGCCCCTCAACCCTTCACACTGAGAGGATGCCGTATATCTTGGCAAAGCTTCTCAGCATCCATGATCTCAACTGATTCTTTGGAGGACTTTGAGAATGACCAAACAAGTATCAGATGGAGGGAGGGGGCTGTGAGGACCACCAGAGCAACACCCCTGTGAACACCCTTCACAGGCAGGGCAACAGAGCCTGGGACGGGGGCGGGCTGGTGGCAGGGCAGGGTGGGAACACTGTCCTGGTCCGGTGGGAGCTTGCCCTCTCACATACAAAGGAGGGCTGACACTTTCCAAAGCCATGAAATTGGGGCCCAAACAGCCCCCCATCATCTTATCACCCAGCAAAGAAGCTTCTATAAAACTCCAAAATGCTCAATGTTCTTATCCCCCAAGGTCAGAGAAAACACTAGAAGTATGTGTGAATTGCTCAAGGTCCAGGGCTCAGGGGCAGAGCCTGGAGTCACCAAACCTCCCCAGTCCACATCTACATCCACTCTTGCAGTGTCCACACCATCTGCCTTACAGAGAGACGAGCCTCTGGCCACTCTGCTGCTTGAACTCAACCTGGCCAGGACACCTGCCTCAGCCTTCAAAGTAACCCTCAGTTCCTGTGAGAGCCCCACATTCCCTCCCTCTCTTCTTCCCCAATCCTGCTGCCCACTCTCCCCTCCAGGAGGCCGTCCTGACATGAAGCCCTTGGTTCTGCTTTTCTCTGTTTCTACCTGCTGTGAACAGCCTCCTCCATGTCCGTGCTCAGGCAGCTGCTGGAGCGACTCTCCTCGTTCGTGCACAAGGGGAAGGGGCCTGCATCCCCTTCCTCTAAGCCGCCACTGCAGCCCCACCCTGCAGCCCTCTTCACCCTCTCAGACCCAACCAGATCTGCCCAGTGGCTGTGTGTACGTAGATACAGTATATGGCTCCCGTGGTCCTGGGAACCCAGCCGCCTCACCGCCTCTTCTTTAGTAGAAACTGCTGAAGTCCTAGGAGTCCCACATCAGACATAAACGACCATGGCTTCTGGGGTTCCCTGGTCCCCCAGGGGTCTGGAGACCCCTTCCCCAACATCCCAGGTGAGGGAGGCCTTCGGCTAGAACCAAAGGAAGGTCACATCTGGATCCTGCTTTCCCATCTCTGAGTAAAACTGGACCCAAAAGATTCAGGCAGGGCCTCCCAAGGTCTAACTTCTAGGTCTCCTGCTTGCGCTTCTCAGAGATTGTGACAAGGGGACAGACAAC